AATGAAATTTGATACATAGCCACTTGGAATAAAACCAAATTTAACGCCAGTTTCAAAATTTCGTTTTGCGCATGCGCAGTGCCAACTTTCTTATTTATGGAGGGATTTAAATGAAATTTGATACATAGCCACTTGGAATAAAAGCAAATGTAGCGCCATTTTCAAATTTGGTTTTGCGCATGCGCAGTGCCAACTTTCTTATTTATGGAGGCATTTAAATAAAATTTGATACATAGCCACTTGGAATAAAAGCAAATATAACGCCAGTTTCAAAATTTAGTTTTGCGTATGCGCAATATCAAATTTCTTATTTATGGAGGGATTTAAATGAAATTAGATATATAGCCACTTGGAATAAAAGCAAATGTAGCGCCATTTTCCAAATTTGGTTTTGTGTAGGATGTGCAGTGCCAACTTTCTTATTTATGGAAGAAATTTCGTAGGGGTGTTTAAAAAAAATGCGCTTTACCTGCACAAGGGTTGTGCACAATTTGTACTTGTTTTGTAGTATCCGCGAATTTGTTAGCGTGTTATGGAAATTCTGACAGGTTCAGATTCCCCGAAAAAAGTTCCAATAGAAGGTGCTAATATCAACCGCCCATTTCCCACAATTTAAGCAAGGTGGAAAAATTGAATTTGACATTTTCCGTTTTTTGGTGATATCTCTGTTATCTTCAAAGATTTTTCAAAAATTTCAAATGCGCTTTTTTAGTCACAAAAAGGGACAATTTTGTCTGCATTAACCTACACTGTATCTCACCCTTACGGAAATCCCAATGGTGAGAATTTGAACCGCCCTGTATAGTGTACAGTGTGTTTCCTGGTGACTGCCGGAATTTCGTCCACGCGGAGTAGATTTTTGTCAATAAATCTTATTGGACGAAAAAATTAGTTTTGAGTGGTGGACACGGTTTGAGCCTCGGAATGGGTAGTGAGAATTAGGTTGTCGGGAGAGATTTATTGGAAATTCAAATTGAGTCGCGGGGCAATTCGCGTCGAGCCGCGAGAGACAATTAACGCGAAATTACCAGCCGATCCCCTGTAAAGTACCGTGGGGTATTGTTCTTTTATTTCGTGTTAGAAAAACTCGCTTGGAGCCGCGAACGAAATTAAATTAGCCACCGAGAATTTATTGATTTATTACACGGTGGATTTTATGTGTGTTATTTGAATACAAGCAAAGAGTCGTGTCGTGATCGGATGGTCGGGACATTGTGAATAATGCACGATACGTGAGTGTTTCTGTCACAATTCAGAAGACGACCTCAATACTGCAAGGTTTCAACAAGATGGGGCGTCGGGGCGACAGCCTTTGTTGCGTTGACAACACTACTAATTATAATATAATTAAAAGGTTGTGACATGCGTAGGAATGATCGTACTTAATATTCACGCCAACCACTGTCACAACGATAACTACCATAGATCTTCCACTTTCCTTTTGAAAGTACCCTCTTCCCACGCATCTAATATGAGATATTCGAATTAGAAGATTTTACGGATACGTCGGGTCCAAACCTTTCACTTTCCTTTGAGATTACCCTCTTTCGACACTTTGAAGATTTCAGCCACCGACACGGATACGTCTCTTAAACTCACTAAAGCTAAAACCTCATAACAGCTGGACATTTCGCATGATTTTCCATTTTCCCTTTGAAATTGGTGCATAAGTATACATTTTGAAACTTTGTATGGCAAATAAGTGATCCTTTGAACTAACAGAAGTAGACGCTCCGAAAACCTATATACAGTGCGTTTCAGATAATAGGGTCACCTGAATATCTCTTTTATTTGTGTTAAATATAATTTTATATGTAACATTACGATCTATCTGATCGCATATTCATTCATATTCCGGTATCACTTCCGGTTTAACCGGAAATCGTTGCAACTTTTGCTTTTCAAATCCAATGCATATGTGTTTTTAAGATATTTGAAAAGAGCAATCAATTTGCTGTACGACAACGTGAAATATGCATATGATTGATATAAAAAATGGAGAAATTCATGATTCAATAGTTAGAAAATTTATGAAATCTGGCATGCCGTGTGCTGTCAGGATGCGGTCACATAGACCCTATTATCTGAAACGCACTGTATAAATAGTGAAAATAGATTTGAAAGACTTTGTTTGAGCTCCATATATGTTTGAAGTGTTAAATTAGGAACGAATAGAAGAATCGAGACTCAAAAAATGTATATTGTTTCTATAGGCTATCGACTGTTAAACGTCGAAATCGATAGCCTATAGAAACAATAAACTTTTTTGAGTCTCGATTCTTCTATTCGTTGAGATTTGAAAAAGTTTCTTATACCAAGGTAGACCCACTTCAGTTTAAGTTTAGTTGACTGTAATTGTTAAGGAACTTAAATGGATAATTTTTGAAATGTTATTCAATCAAACTTTTTCATTCGTGCATTCTACTGAACTGATGTTGAACTATCGTGATACAACTGATTTTAAAATAGACCATTCCAGCGAACAAAATCTCTATTAAATTGCCTTGCCAAACATTAAGATCTAACCGAATAAGTCAGGCTTAGTATCTTACAATAGAAACCCAAAATTTCAATAAATGTCAATAGTTCTTTAATAAAATTGACGCGGATGCGTCACTGGCCGGTTAATCGCATGGCAAAGTGGTTGGTGCCCGTCTGGTGGTCGATAAGACGAGATAACAATGTTTTACGTGACCAAAACCGCTAAATCAGAATTGCTCATAACGATCTGGTTACTAATTAATGGCCATTATACGCTCATGATTGGTTTAAGTAGATAAGTAACTAATTAGCGCCATTTTGTAAGCGGGATAAAAAATTTAAAAAGAGGAGGGACGCGTCCAACAGAATTTTAGAAAGGACATGCTGTCAAGGCGGAAGTTTTGGAGCTCGCGACATTTTTACGCGGGTAGTTGCTAAAGAGTAAAGTTCGTAAGCGGGAATAGATATTGAGCCTTGTGATGTATCAGAAACGTCGAACGTAACGTTATCTAGTATGGGAAATATAACGATTCCTACTGTTAACTTGCACGGTGCTTGACACATGGCAGGGCTGATTATATGGGCGGACGCGAAAGTGATACGGTTAAAATGGATTTCAATAGGTGCCAAGAAAATCAGTATACGCGTTGGGATTACGTAAAATTAGTGACAATTTTGATTCAAAGGACAACTGTTTGGTTTGCAACTAGAAACTGTCATGGGTAACGTTGGGCAATAATAATAACAAGTATAAATTGTGCACAACTCTTGCAGATAAAGCGCATTTTTTTAACCGAAATAGCTTTTGTTTTGACATCACCATTAATATATTTCTTGCAGATGTCTCAATCGCCCTTTGTGAGTACCCTCTTCCGACTATCCGTTCTTGAGGTATAAGGGAATGTACCCGATCACGATAAGAGGTCGAGGAGGAGGGCTATGGTTGGTAGAAATTAATTCCTTTCGTTGAGACCTTTAATTAGAATACAATGAGAGATAAAATTGATTTTTACCCCCCCCCCCCTCTCAGGCCCCGTCGCTCTCTGATCTCGAAAAAGAGTCGCACGGGAAAGTTATAGTTTGTACAAAGCAATTTATTTCGATGAGACCTTTCATTAGAATACCATGAAGGGTAGAAAAGTGTTACTCCCCCCCCCCCACCCCCCTTCTATATGTAAAATCTGAGACCCAATGGTTGTCGATGATGTAAAAGTTATGCACGTTTTACTTTCAAAAACAGCATCTCAGGAAATAATTCGTGGGGGGGGGGGCCTTTTAGACAGTGAAATTTGATGATCGTCTGGCACATCTTCAAGGTATAGGCTACATACTGCAAAACATTCCAGGACTCTAGGACCATTCCCCTAGACGGACGGACGTACGAACGGACGGACAAAACGCAAACAATACCACATTTTTTTTATTTCTTAAAAAATGCCCTAAACAGTGTATGGTGCCTAACACATAATAAGTTCATCGAATTTTTAGCGCATTTTTTATGAATTATAACAAAATGTGCTATATGTTGTTTGCGTTTTGTCCGTCCGTCCGGACCCACTTCTGCTGTTTCGAACTACTTCTAGGGGAATGGTCCTGAAATATTTTGCAAAAGGTAGGGTATACCTTGAAGGTGTGGCAAACGGCCATCAAATTTCACTGTCTAAAAGGGCTTTTTTTGAAAGTAAAACGTGCATAACTTTTACATACCACAACCAATTGATGTCAGATTTTGCATACGCATGCGGCATGCCTTTATTAGTGGTGCCAAGTTAAACATCGTTACAGTACACAATTTTGTATGCAATTAATACGTTTCAAATTACCTCGGTCATTTGGATTATAGTACAGTACAGTAAAACTTCTCTGCTACGAGCCAGGAATTAACATCCGAAATGTTTAGTTTTATTCCACGAATCCTAAGTGTGGGTTGTTGTGTGGTAATTACCTTTGCAGTGGCAATTTACTGAACTCGTGGGGTCCACAATCCCACTGTGATAATTTGCGGCTATCACCAAAAAAATAATGTACTTTACATTGATTTGTAGAACTTTGCGGCGTCTAACCAAAATAAAACAAATAGGTAGCGTAATAACAATTTACGACATTTAATTAACAAGAAATATATACATTGAGGTGAACAAGAAGGTGCTTACTGTTCAGCAGTTCGAAACCGAGTCTGCTTCATTTAGGGATACTTGTCCCTGGAATCTTAAAACTACCGTTAGGCCTTGTCGAAATACCAAGAAGGTCTCTTCTAAATAAAAATACTAGGAAATTCTCAACAACTAAAAGGTCTTTTGTGAAAATACTAAGAAATTCTCAACATGCCCCCGGCCTTGAAAGAAGGCTTTCAATAATATACTGCATTTACTTAACCTAACAATATAACAATGAAAACTGAATACAAATTGAATCTAGAGTGTACATCATGGTTTCTTAACAACTAACAATTTTCAAGAACAAGAAAAAACTATCATCACTGCACAAATAATTAATCATTTGCACTTCATTATAATTAACTATACGATTGGCAGAGGACAAATTTTTGCAAAAGAACGTTTCACCACTCCATTTATAGTTTTCACAGATGCAACTCGCGCTACTCCGTCTGCACCGGGATGAACAGCTACAACAAGACCCAGCTTCCAATGTAGAGGTGGCTGGTTATCTTCTTTCAAGAGCACCAAGGTGCCATTTTTGAGGTCGGACAGATGAGATCGCCATTTCGTGCGCTGCTGTAGCTCGCTTACATATTCTTTACTCCATCTCTTCCACAGGCGTTGATGAAGTTGTTGAACTAGCTCAAATGCTTTGAGACGTGGAATCGGTATACTGCTGACGTCTGGATCTGGCAGTGAGGTCAGTGGTCTTCCAATCAAAAAATGTGCCGGCGTGAGGGGTTGGAAGTCATTGGGATCGCTTGATAAGGGAGAAAGCGGACGGGAGTTGATAGTCGCTTCAATTTGAGATAGCAAAGTACTAAATTCTTCATACGTGAGTAAGGATGTACCTAATACTCTCCTTAAGTGTGATTTTACGGATTTTATACCGGCCTCCCACAGGCCTCCAAAATGAGGACTATGGGCAGGAATAAAGTGCCAGGTGGTGCCTTCAACAGCAAACGTTTTATTGATGTGATCGCCGTTACTCTTTAAAAATAAGCTCAAATCTTTCAGTAGCGAATTGGATCCAACAAAATTGGTTCCGTTGTCGGAATACACGTGAGACGGTTTTCCTCGGCGGGAAGCAAACCGCCTGAATGTCATTATGAAAGACTCCGCTGTTAGACTAGTCACCAGTTCCAAATGAACTGCTTTGGTCACAAAGCAGATGAAAAGGCATAAATAGCTCTTAGAGGTTTTGGCACCTCGGCCCTTGTGGTTTTTAATGAGGAAAGGACCTCCATAATCTACGCCAACGGTGGAGAATGGAGGTGCAGCTTGTACACGAGAAGGAGGTAAATCGGCCATGATGGGTTTTACCAGTTTGGGAGAGAATCTGAAACACTTCATGCATTTGTGTACCGTCTGCTTAGTTAGACTTCTTCCAGAGATAATCCAAAATTGGTTCCTAAGGGAATACAGAAGAAGCTGTGGGCCAGCGTGTAACAATCTCAAGTGCTCTCGGAGAGTGAGTAGTTTGGCCAATCGATGTTTTCCCGAGAGTACAATAGGGTGAATCTTATCAAATTGATAATTTGATTTGCGAAGTCTGCCACCAACGCGCAGGATACCTTCTGAATCCAAAAATGGATTCAGACTTATTATAGAGGAGGACCGCTTCAGGGGGCGATTTCGTCGTAGCTGATTCAGATCTTCACCAAAGGATTCGATCTGAGATATTTTTATCAGGCATAAAAGAGCGGCTCGAATTTCGAGTACTGTTAGAGGGCCAGTGATGCGATTTTTCATGACCACGCGACAATTATTAATAAATCGCAACAGAAATGCAACAACTCTTTCCAATCGAGATATATCGGAAAATTTGTCGATTAGATTAAATGATGTTGTAGTAATAAGCGAGTGAGTTTGAAGCTTGAACTCAGGTAGGTGTGGGAGTGAATCAGGTGGTTTTGGCCATGATGATTCACAGCTTGCGAGCCAGTCGGGCCCATTCCACCATAATTGAGTGGACTTTAAAGATTTTGGCGTGACTCCCCTGGATAGCAAGTCAGCAGGATTGCATTTGGTGGGAACGTGTCTCCAGATTGCGGAAGAAGTACGCTCCTGTATATCAGCGACTCGATTGCATATAAAGGTTTTCAATAGATTAGGGCTGGTTTTTACCCATCCTAACACTATTGTAGAATCTGACCAAAGGTACGTGGCGGATACTTTCATATTTAGCGAATTAATTACCTGTTCAACAAGTTTAGCTAACAGGACAGCAGCGCTGAGTTCTAGTTTGGGAATGGTAAGGGGCTTTAGGGGCGCCACTTTCGATTTGGCACATAACAAACTTATATGAATTTTATTACTTTGATCAACAGATCTGAGGTAGATACACGCGCCATATGCGCTGATAGAGGCATCACAGAATCCATGCAGTTGAATGTTAGTTGATCGAACGCATATGGAGTGCCTGGGTATTTGGAGTTCAGTAAGCTCTATTAATTCGCTCCTATAAGAGGACCACTTCAATAAAATGGGCTGTGGCACCGGATCATCCCATCCTAATTTCTCCAGCCAAAATTGTTGTAAGAGTATTTTAGCACTAACGGTGCATGGACTGAGAAGGCCAAGCGGGTCAAAAATTTGAGCAATTTGAGAAAGAATAGTACGCTTGGTTATCTTACTTATGGGAGCTGGTGAGATGGTGAAGGTAAAACTATCGGTTTGAAAATTCCAAATTAGTCCCAGAGTGGTAGTATGATCATGGGATCCCAGTTCCAGTAAGCCTGGATGGATGTCCTCCTCGGGTAAGTGAGCCAGTACCCTTGGATCGTTGGAAATCCACTTACGAATCGGAAAGCAGCCTTCACGAAGGGCATGTGAGACTTTAGAGGCGAGTACTTGGGCTTCAAAAAGATCATCGGCGCCAGTTAAGAGGTCATCGACATAGAAGTCGGACTTGATGATGCTTGACGTTTTGGAATCGAATTTTTCGATGTCTATTCCAATTTGATATAAACATCGGATGGCGAGAAATGAAGCAGATGCTGTACCGTACGTAACGGTGTTCAAGTCATAGGACAAAAGCGGCTCTGAGGGAACAGGTCTCCACAAAATGCGTTGCAGGGGTCTCTGATCTGGGTTTACTAGAACTTGTCGGTACATCTTTTCAATATCAGCGGAAATCCCGTAAGTATATTTTCGAAATCTCACCAATATAGAAAAGAGGTCCTGTTGTATGGTTGGGCCAACCATTTGAAAATCATTGATAGACCGTCCCGACGTAGTCGATGAGGAACCATTGAATACCACTCGAAGCTTGGTGGTAAGGCTTGAGTCCTTCATCACTCCATGGTGGGGAAGATAATACGAAATGCCTCTAAAGGATGCATTTGAAAGTGACATGTGGCCTAGATTTTGGTATTCCTCCATAAAGGCAGTATAGCGCTCCAAAATGATGGGATTCATTTGAAGACGCCTCTCCAAAGCGAAAAATTGTCTTTGAGCCTTATTGTATGATTCTCCTAGGGTGTCGAGAGGAGCCTTAAAAGGAATGTCGACAATAAATCTTCCGTCTTCATCTCGTGAGACGGTTTTCGTAAAGTGGGTCTCGCATTCCGTCTCCTCAGCTGAATGTACCTTGTCAGAGGGATAGCTTTCTAATTCCCAGAATTTGGCTAACTGTTCAGGAAGATCGTTTAATACACTCAAATTGCATTGCGATTTGGTAGAAGGGATGGCACCTATAGGGCCAGAAATTACCCAACCCAGTTGGGTTTTTTGTAGAATGGGCATGTTTGGGCCTAACCTTATTTGACCCGCGCATAATAAAGAAAAGAATAGAGGCGATCCGATTAACATATCAATATTTCCGGGAGTATTGAATGATGGATCAGACAATTTGATGTGTTTTGGCAGTTTGATGTTGCAGTTAAAGCGGAAACTAGGCATTGTGCCAGTGATCTCTTCAAGAATCAAACAAGAAACGTCCTCTTGAAAACCCGAATATTGAGATCGTAAAATTACACGACATTTTGATCGAATAGTGGAGGATAATTTACTTAAACCTGACACCGTAACGTTAGCATTTTCGACGTTCAGCTTCAATTTCTGACAAATGCTAGCGCGAATGAAATTAGACTGCGAACCAGAATCTAATAAAACACGAATTGTGTGTGCCGCTCCAGTAGAATCAAGAATTTGAGCTGAAGCGGTTGGTAGAAGAACTTGAATGGTGTTCGTGCAAAATGCAGCAATACTTTGACTTGGTTCATCGTTATTGCTACTAGAAGGATTGGACTCTATTTTCCGCCCAGTAGGCGCCTCTTGGCTAGCAGGACCAGAGCTTAGGTGCAGCAGGGAATGATGCCGCCCCTTGCAGGTGCGACAGCTGTATTTAGAAGTACACTGAGTTATCATATGACCCTTGTACAGACAATTCAAACATAGTTTTAATTCTTTAACTTTGGCAATTCTTTGAGATGGAGAAAATTTTAGAAAATGCTCACAAGAATTGAGTGTATGGGAGTCTTTGCATAATATGCATATTGGAGAATTCATCACAAAGGATTTTGACATTTGAGGTTTTCCTTTGGCGTATACTGGCGTAGGGGTAGATTTCGAATCCGATTTGGATTGCAAGCTATCTAGCAAGTTTGCAGTGTTTGTTAAGAAAGTTTTGAACTCGTCAAAGTTCGGTATTGCGGTACCAGCATCATTTTGGTTTCTTTCCCATTGGCGTAATGTGGTAGAATCTAGTTTGTGAGACATTATATATATGATGGTAGTTTCAAATAATTGGGCGTCGGAGGCTAGCGAACGTAAAGCGGTGACGTGTTTGAATAATGCATCAGAGATCTTTCTTAATGCGGGAGACGCCTCCTTGACACAGGATTCTAAATCTAGTATAGATCTTAAATGATTGCGTATTAGCATGCGAGGCTGATCATACCTAGCACAGATTGCTTTCCAAGCAACTTGATAGTTGCCGGCGGAAAATTGTAGCGATTTGATTACCTGGCTTGCGTCGCCAGTAAGGCTTGACTTCAAATAGTGTAGTCGTTGAACGTCGTTTAGCTCCTCATTTGAATGAATGAGGCTGTTAAAAATTTCCCTGAACTCTATCCAGTTTTCTAAATCACCACAGAATTTAGGAATTGATATCTTAGGCAGATTAAAAAATGGGTTCTTGTGGGAAGAACTGTTAACGCTTCTCGCATCGGAATTGCACGACGGAGATATTGAAATGCGTTCAACTTTTGCTTTGTTGAGCAGCAATTTCGCGAATGAAGTCGCTTTAAAATAAGCAGATTCAAATTGTGCGTGGTGACATTCGTCGTCGCTCACATCAGAGACCAAATTAATCATTTTACTATGAGTCTCATCGTATTCCTTCATCAAGGGCGTTATAGCCTCCAATCTATCTTGGAGCTCAATTGCATCTTCCTCGGTAACCGTATCGTTATTAAGTTTTGAAATAAATGTTTGAAATCGCGTAAGCTTAGATTTAATTTGACCCCTGGCTTTCTTTAATTCGTCAGCCATAATGAAATAGAACACAATATTTTCACAATACGCTAATTTAAATTTAACTAGAATAGCGGCGACCAACAGACAATAAAATAATTGTAACACAACGAAATTTAAATCGTAAAATATTAAAGAAAAAGGACCTGATGGAAGCCGGTATGCAGATTTGTTAACAAGAGTTACTGTAAACGAGAAATTTTAAGAACTCTATTGTTACGAAATATTTTCGAAGTACCCGTATTTAAAAATACAAGTTTAGCACTAATGCAATCTCTGAAGTTCGGCGAAATTTACATAAAGGAACTAATGAAAGGAATTTTACCTGGAAGGACCAAGAGGCAACGGCAGCTTGCGGATGAGACCAAGTAGACGGCTTAACTTTTCGATCTTGTAGATTTTTTCTTGTATTGTAAGTTGAACTTCACTTAATGCACGGAATACGCGATTTTGATTAATACGCGCACACGCATATGTATATCCGGCTCGAAGGACCAAATGATGTGTGGTAATTACCTTTGCAGTGGCAATTTACTGAACTCGTGGGGTCCACAATCCCACTGTGATAATTTGCGGCTATCACCAAAAAA